CTTATGAACATTCATAGTGTAAAATGTGCTCAATTGGTCTATTCTGTATCATACAACTATCTTGCTCATAACCAGACTATTGTTACAAAGAAGAACTGAAAATACAACTTTTCCCTACAACCCCTCCCTGCAAAAAGATCCAAAGGATAATTTTATGGCATCTTATATAGCACTTATCAGATATGACATGATAGTGTAATATAGTGGTTACTATGGGTTGTGGAGTCAATCCTGAATTCAAAATCTAACTCTGAACCTTACTAGCTATGCCATGTTTGGTTTTGTTACTTTACTATGGACTTGCCAAGTACAGACTGGGGCTAACACACACACACGCACACACAATCTACAGGGCTTACTTTGAGCCTAGCAAACACATAATAAGCATTATTTTCTATTGTAATTTGATCACAAATCTTAAGAACAAATAATTGCATTAATTGCCTCTAGTCCAAGTAATGGCAACAGTTGCTAGTGGTTTGTGTGTTTTGGAGCTCCTATGAAGTTTAGGCAATGATTTGCAAAATAACAAAATATAAGAAAGACTTCATTCCTTGCTTCTAGCAAGAGTTACGATGGGTATGAAAAATTAGCTCTAAGATGGGAGAGTAAAACTACTGTTGTTCCCCACTATCAATGCACTAAGCACTGCACTTCTATCTTTTCTCTACCAACCCAGCAAATGAGTTTATTCATGACTATTCATGTTTCTACTTCTTGTGTGAGCTTTAATTTGTCTTTTTAAGGACATTATCAATTTCACCAAAATTTATTGGCATAAAGTTGTTTGTAAAGTGCCTTTATTGTTCTTAATGTCTCTAGAATTTGTAGTGATGTCTAATCTTTCATTACTAATATTTCTGTTTTATATATTTTTTTCTTCATCAGTCTAGCTAGAGGTCAATTTTTTTAAAAGATTTTATTTATTATTTTTAGAAAAAGGAGAAGGGAGGGAGAAAGACAGGGAGAGAAACATCAATGTGTGAGAGACGTATCAATTGGTTGTCTCTTGCATACCCCCAGCTGGGGAACTGGCCTGCACCCCAGACATGTGCCCCAATGGGGAATTGAACCAGTGACCTTTTGATTCACAGGCTGGCACTCAGTGTACTGAGCCACACCAGTCAGGGCTAGAAGTCAATTTTATTAGTGGCATCCCACAAATTTTAATATTTTGTTCTCATTTTATTGAGTTAAAAATATTTTCTATTTTTTTGTAAACTTCTTTTTTGAGCACAAGGTATTTATATGGGGTGCTGTCCAATTTCCAAATATTTGTAGATTTTTCAGATGTTATTTTAGTCTAAAATCTTTGTGGTCCAAGAATATACTTTGTGTGATTTCAATCCTCTTAATATATTGTATTAAGGCCCAGAATACACTATTGTGGTGAATGTTCCAGGTATACTTGAAAAGAATGCATGTTGTTTTTCAGTGGAGTAACCTGTAAATATTACATCAAGCTAGTCTTCTATGATCTTGTTAATTTTTTATCTACTCATTCTATCAATTACAGAGAAAGGAATGTTGAAATCTCTAACTGTAATTGTGGATTTGCCTGTTTCTCCTTTTAGTTCTTGTTTCATATATTTTGGAGGTCTGTGCACATACACTTAAGATTTTGGTGTTTTCTTATTGAACTGACTCCTTTATTATTATGAAATGTATCTCCTTATGACAGTATTTATTCTAAAATCTATTTTGTCAATATCCTTTTAATTAGTGTTTGCACAGTATACCATTTTCCATTCTTTATTTTTACCCTGCCTTTTTTTTTAAAACAGAAATTTATTCTTACAGGAAAACGTAAGTCCAAAATTGAGGTGTCAGCAGGGCCATGCTCACTCTGAAGGCTTTTGGGAGAAAGCCTTCTTTGACTTTTCCCAGCTTCTGGTAGTTCCTGGCAATCCTCCATGTTCCTTGGCATATAACTGCCTCATTTCAATAGTGAGCAGTACCTACTCACAGAGTAGTTTGAGGATTAAGATGAGATGTAATGAATATAAGAGGTAGGCATAGGGTCCGGTTGCATACATGATAAAATTCTTGATAGTATTAGCTATTTCTTGTTGTAATTATTGTTATGCTACCAGTCTCCTCAGATATATGCCCTGTGAGGCGGCACTGATTTGAAATGCTAGCAGTCCAAGTAACAAGGGCAATACATTGCCAGAAGATAACTTTTGTTTCTGACAAGTGAATGCCTAAAGTTAATTTAATTACAAGAGGTAATTAGCATGTTAATCTAGGTTTCACTCTATTTGATGTCTTCTTTTTTAAAAGAAAGAATGACAGAATTTAATGAAAACAAACTAAGCAAACAACTAGAACAGGAACTGAGTCACAGAAATGGAGATCACATGGAGGGTTATTAGTGGGGAGGAGGAGGGTGGAGAATGGGGGAAAAGGTACAGGGAATAAGAAGCATAAATGGTAGGTACAAAGTAGTCAGGGAGAGGTTAAGAATAGTATAGGAAATGAAGAAGCCGAAGAACTTATATGTATGAACCATGGACATGAACTAAGAGGGTGGGGAATGCTGGTGGGAGGGGGATTGCAGGGTAGAGGGGAATAAATGGGAGAAAAAATGGGACAACTGTAATAGCATAATCAAATATATTTTAAAATATAACAGAATTTATTATAGGGTAATTTACTTACAGGGATGTAGGGTCAGAGCAGAAAGATGACCCAGCAATTCTGCACAAATTATTCTTCACTACCAGAAACCTGTTTAATACTGTTTACTAGTGTACCTTAGGTGCTAATGATTGACAAGACAAAGGGACAAAGAATGCAGTATGAGCTGGAGGCCATACGTCCCGGTTGTCTTGTGATGGATGATTGTTTACGGTTGGTACTAGCACCATTTTGATATTTATCATGGTTGTCATGCCACTGTGGCCTTTAATAACAAAAATATTTATGACTACAGTTTATGGAACATAGGTAATCATCAACTAGAAGGCTTTCATGTTTGCTAAGGACAGTGAGGTTAGTCAAAGGTCACAGCATGAAAGAAGTCTGAGACTCAAAGATGGAGCTGATTTTCTGTTCACAGCCAGATCTATTCAGTGAGCTGGAAGGGATCATTAAAACCCCAGGTTCTCTTCACCTTCCTTCTTAGCAGTCCACAGAATTGGTTTCATGAAAGGCTGATTCCCCTCATGGTCACAAGTAGCTGCCACCCCTCACCGAAGCATGTTGATTTCCTTCAAATGTCTGAGGATTATTTTCACACCATTGCTTCGAGTTCTCTTTTCCTGGATAAAGGGCTCTAATTCCTTAGTCCACTCGTCATGTGGCACATCAACCTTCTTGTCTACCTCTTATACCTAGATCCTGGCGAGGGTCTTCTAAGACTGTGGTGTCAATGTATGAAATATCCAAACCTGTACAGAATTCTTATGAGTTTATCTGAGCCAAACTGATGAGCATGTATCGAGGAGCAAGACCTCAAATGTTCCCACTCTGTCTTTAAAGGGGGTTTCATGTAAACAGCTTATAATTGGGCCTTGCTTTTGCCCAAGTTGACAATCTTTATTTATTTTTATTAAGATGTGGCACCTTATATGATGGAATACTACTCAGCCATAAAGTGAAATATTGCCATTTGTGATACAGATAGACGTTGAGAGCATCATGCAATAAAAGACAATATTTTGTATTGATTTGAGACAGCAAGGATGGGGCGTTGGGTAGAAAGAGACACATCCATTTATCGTTCTACTTATTTATGCATTCACTGGCTGATTCTTGTATGTGCCCTGACTGGGCATTGAGCCTGCAACCTTGGCATTTAGGGATGATACTCTAACCAACTAAGGTACCTGGCCAGAAGAAGACAATCTGTCTTTTAATTGGAATGTTTTAGGATTTAAATTTTAGACCATTTACATTTAAGTTTAAATCTACCATCTTGCTATTTCTATTTGTTCTATTTTTAAATTATATTTTATGCTACTAAGTTGTCCCAGGTTTTCCCCCTTTGCTTCCCTCTACCCAGCATTTTGTTCCTTGTTAAACTCTTTCCTCATCTTCTTTGTCTTTTTTGATTGCATCTTACCACATTCCATTTATGACAATCAGCTTATTAGGAATTCCTGACTCATTTATTTAGTGATTTCTCAAGTTTATATTTACAAACAAAAATTTACAAAGAAAAAAAACCTCGTTTTATATTAGCTTTGTTATTCAAGCAAAATATAGTAGCCCTCTTCAAAAGTTTTAAGATTCAACTTTAGAGATTTAATTAAAAATTTAAAATTCAGTGATGTGGGGAAAATGTCTAGTGTATTGTTAGACATACAGAAAAAAATGTCAAACTTTTCACAATATGGGAAAGAGGACTAAGGTAAGAGTGAAAATATCACAAGGCGAATGAACATGATGCTCATAGCAGCTAAAATGCAGATGTAATCCGAGTCTACCAATGAATGAATGGCTAAGCAAATTTGACATGCACATACAATGGAATATTATTCAGCTTTAAAAAGAAGAGAAATTCTGACACATGCTATTGTACAACACGGATGAAATTTGGGGACATTATGCCAAGTGAAATAAGCCAGTCACAGAGACAAATATTGTATGCTTCCACTTACATGAGATGGTTAGACAGAGTAGTCAAAATCACAAAGACAGAAAGTACAACAGTGGTTGCTGATGGAAGAGGGAATAGGGAATTATTGTTTAATGGGCGTAGACTTTCAGTTTTAAAGGATGAATAGTTATGGAGATGATGGTGATGGTCACACAATGTTATGAAAGTACTTAATACCACTGACTGTACACTAAAAAAGTTAAGATGGAAAATTTTATCATAATTTAAAAATTAAAAACATCCTGTTAGAAATATCCATTTGTTCAAATATATGCGGGCTGCCTGCTATATGCAGAATACACTGTTGCTTGTATTAGTCAACCTCCATGTGTTCCAAAGCAAATCTGAATGGCTGGAAACACTTTTTTTTTTTTTTTTAAGAATGACAAAAACAGACTGGCATATGTATTCTTTATTAAATCTTACTAGTATTCTTTAATGGACAAACACATAGATGAGTAGGCTACAGTAAAGAAATCTTATTTTTATGAGAGTTAAGAAGCCACTAAGGTACTTCCAGATATTATCTTCAGTGATGCTTCTTATCTTTATTCTGGGACCCTAGGTAATATTCAGCCCCTACAGCTACCACAAATGCAGCAAATCCCCATTTGAATCCTTTCAATATTGCACCAACAAAGGAAACATTGTTTGCAAAGCCACCCATGTATCTCCAGGCTTCATTGCTAGAAGAAAAGAAGGAAAAAATTATAATCACACACAACTATGTGTATTAATTGAATAAAATACATTTAATTTTCACCTTTCTTTTTAAGATTTTATTTATTTTTAGAGAGAGGAAGGGAAGGAGAAAGAGGGGGAGAGAAACACCAATGTGTGTCTGCCTCTCATGCACCCCCTACTGGGGACCTGGCCCGAAACCCAGGAATGTGCCCTAGACTGGGAATCGAACTGGCAACCTTTTGGTTCGAGGGCTGGCACTTAATCCACTGAGCCACACCAGCCAGGGCTAATTTTCATCTTTCTAACAGATGTAAATGCAATCTTGTAAGATAATCTAAGTGGACCACAATAGGAATCTTTCTGTGGAATAGGATAGTTACATCTATATGCCCATGTTTCACATATAAAATAGAAGAAAAAACACTTGATTTCACATTCACAATCATAATACTCAGGATTTTACAAAATTCCCAAATGTAAAACTTTCTTTGGCCCTATCCATCACAGGTGAGCTGTGTGGCTTTACCCATACTAGTCATTACAGCATCATGGAGAGAAGTAGTTAGAGGGTATTAATCTTTGCTCTGCCACCTATACTAGATTAACACTCTTTTAGGGTGAGCAAGTTACTTAACCTGTCAGGACCCGTTTCCTCTCCTACTTAATGATGATTACTATCCACCTTACAGCATTGTTATAAAGAATAAACAGGGTAATGATTGATATACTTTGGCACAGACAGTATGTAACATTTGACATTATTATCACTGCTAATAAATTTCCCTGTCATAGCAGTTTGAACTTTAGAAGACTGATTTCCTACTCTGGCAACCATTCTTCTGAGTACCCTAAATAAAGATATAAAAAGATGTCAGAGACCTCTGGTGGAAAAAAAACTTTTCTCTCACAGGTGGGGATAAGTGAGTGGAAATAAATCACGTTATGAAGAATAAAAGCCCTTAACTCTAAAAACCTGACTTACTAGAAAATATGAGAGCTAATCAAACATCATTTAGATACCAAAATCAGACAAAGACATTGAAAGAAAACTATAGAGTAATATATCCCTCATGAACAGATACTCAAATATTCTTAACAAAATTTTAGAAAATTGAATCCTGCAATATATGCAAAGGATAATATATCCAGATGAAACAGGATTTACTCCAGGAATTCAAGTCTGGTTTGGTTTAATCTTTGAAAATCAATAAGAGTAATTCATCATATTAACAGAATAAAAAAAACTATGTGAGCATCTCAATAGATGCAAAAAAGCACTTAACAAAATTCAATACCCATTAACAACAATAACAATAATAATAGCAACTCATGGTAACCTATGAATAAAAGAGAAATTCCTTAACTTGACTAAGAGTATCTATGACCAGCCTACAACTAAGATTAGATTTAGTGGTGAAAGACTGAATACTTTCCACCAACTAGGACAAAAGCAAGAATGTCCATTTATACTACTTTTATTCAATATTATACTAGCAGTGTTAGCCAGTAAAATAATGCAAAGAAAATAGAAATTAAAAGTTTGTAAATTGAAAAGGAAGAAGTAACACTATATTTGTAACACAAAATGATCATTTAAGAAGTCTAAGGAATCTACAAAAAAACTGTTAGAACTAAAAAGTGAATTTAGCAAGGGAATATGACACAAAGTCAACATATAAAACTCAACTCTACTTTTATATATTAGCCAGAACAATTGGTAATTGATTGTAATAATGGAATAATACAGGAAATTATGGAATAATTCAGAAAAAATTTAATAAAATATGTATAAGACATATATAAAGCAATACAATAAAACACTGCTTAAAAATTAAAGAGAGTCTTGATTGTCAACAAACTAGAAAATTCTAGTGTTAAGATATCAATGATCTTCAATTGCACTATAGATTCAATAAGACTCCAAATAAATACATTTGTAAAACATATCTGATGAAGGACTTACATATTAAAAATATAGAGAACTTTCATAATTCAATAAAAGACAAACTCCTTGATAAACAAGGTGTGTAACCTTTGATAAAGAAATGGACAAAAGATCTGAGCAGCCACTGTGCACCCCTCACACAAAGCACAAATGACAAACACTGGGAAAGATTGTTATGATCATTAGTCTTCATGGAAATGCAAGTTAAAAGCATAAAGAGGTATCACATTCACTAAAATGGCTAAAATTAAAAGACTTATAATATTAAGTATTGATGAGGACATCGAACAACTGAAATTCTCGTAATATTGCTGGTGGGAATGCAAAATGGTACCACCACTTTGGAAAATAGTTTGGCAGTTTTTTAAATGAACATACACACACTTATTATATGATCTAGAAATCCCACTCTTAGGTATTTACCAAAGAGAAATAAAAACATTATCTTCACATAGACTTATATTTGAATGGTTATAGCATATTTACTCATAATAATCAAAAACTGAAAACAACCCAAAAGGCAATTAATTGATGACCTGCAAACAAAATGAGGTATATGCACACAATGGACATTACTCAAAAATAAAAAAGGAACTACAGATATAAGTTAAAAACGTGCATAAGTCTCAAAGTCATTATACTATGTGAAAGTGGCCATGACAGAAGACTACATACTGTGTGATTCCAACTGTACAAAGTTCAGGAAAGGGCAAACTATAGATACAAAAAGCAGATTAATGGTTGCCAGGAGCCAATGGTAGGATGACACTGAGTGGAAAGGGGGCAAGAAGGAACTTTTTGGGTTGACACAAATAGACTCTATCATGATTGTGGTGGTGGTTACATTATTGCACACATTTGTCAAAACTCATGGAATTAAACACTTAAAATGGGTGAATTTTACCGTATGTAAATAGTTCAATAAAACTGATTTCAAAACTTTAATGTAAAAATCATTTTCAATGATTTTTTAAAAAGGGAAATACATTAAAAAGAAAAAGATACTGATTTTCTATGATAAATTCTTTAAATTTAAATTCTAAATTATTTAATTATTCTTACCGGGCCCATGGATCCCTTAGCCCTCGTGCAGCCAGCTTTTCCTGTACAATTTCTAATGGTGTCCCCTCTATCTTCCATTGTTTATAATCTGGAAGTTCCATTTTACTGTGACCATGTTCATGTCCATGTTCATGTCCATGGGCCATGTCTATAGAAGATTAACACGAGAGAAATATGCTCATTGTAGATATTAAATAACCACCAAGTTTACTATTGTTTTAAAAAGAGAGCCAATATAAATACTTGAAAGAGATTTTATAAAACAGCGTTATTATTACATAACTAGTGTATGTCCCAGAGGTTCCTTACACTATCTTCATTTTCTTGGATTCTTTTTTCTTTTGCTGTTCTGACTGGGTGTTTCTGGCTGCTTATATTCCAAATCACTGATTTGATTCTCAGCTTTATCTGCTCCACTGTTGATTCCCTGTAAAGTATTCTTCATTTCAGTTAATGTATCCTTCATTTCTAATTGGTCCTTTTTTAAGCTGTTGAAGTTCTCACTAAGTTCCTTGAACATCCTTATCACCACTGTTTTGAACTCTGTACCTGGTAGTTTGCTTGCCTCCATTTCATTTAGTTCTTTTTCTGGAGATTTCTTCTGCTTTTTTCATTTGGGACCTGTTTCTTTGTTTCTGCATTTTGGCTGCTTCTCTATGTATTGGGTTAGAGCTGCAATCTCCTAGACTTGGTAGAGTGGTCTTGTATAACAGGTGTCCTGTAGGGCCCAGTGGCACAGCCTCCCCAGTCACCCAAGCTGGGTGCTGCAGGTGTGCCCCTCTGTGGGCTGTGTGCACTGTCCTGTTGTAGTTGAGCCTTGACTGCTGCTGGCATCACTTGAAGAGATTAATTCCCAGATCAAATGGCTGGGAGGACCAGCTGTGATTACAATAGAGGAGCTACTGTGCTGGAGTTGAGCCTATGGAACAGGACTTGCTTCAATGGGGTTTTGGTGCTCATGGAATCCACTGCCTGAGCGTGTGGCTTGTGGTGGTGGTAGTTATAATACTGCATGGTCTGAAGCTGTCCACTGGGTGCACCAGCTCTGGGGCCTCCCAGCAGGTACAAAGTCAGTCACCACCTGAGTCCTGCTGGGGCAACCCGGCATGAACTACAGAATGGTCTGCAGATGGCTGCTATTTGTGCTGGGCTTGGAGGTGCCCAGGAGCGGCCAAGCTGCAAACCAAGGCCAGCTGCCTCTAGTGCTGAGCCTGGGCCACTTAGCGAGAGGTGTGAGGTACACAGAGTCTAGATGCTGCTTGTTTGAGAGGTTTTAGTCTCTTCAAAGTCTGAAGCTTGAGTTAAGACAGGCCATTCACATGAAAATCCACTAGAAATGGCTTGGGTGGGCCTGCAAGTTTGGTGGAGAGGTGTCTCAGGGATTTTTCAGGTTGGAGCAAATAGTGATGGCCAGGTTGATGGCATCCACCTGCCAGCTCTGTGGGGAGAGGGCTCATCAAAAGAACAATGGCTCCTGCCAGTGCTTTTGTCTGGGAGAAAGCTGTCCCTGGTGCCTTTGAAGCTGTTATCCCAGTGCTGGAGCTTAGGAAGTAAGATTTAGTCCATGTGTGGGCCCTTTAAGAGGAACTGCCTGGGACTCCAGCAGCCCTCTGTCTAGAATTCTCACTGGTTTTACAGCCGGAAGTTATAGGCACTTCTCTTCCCAGCACTGGAACCCTGAGCCTGGGGGCCTGGCGTGGAGATGGGATCCTTCACTCCTCAGGGGGTAACTCTGTGGCTGAGATATCCCTTCTGATTTTTATCTGAGGCTTGTAGGCGTGGGACCAGCCTGTTCTGTGTCTCCATCCCTCACACCAGTCTCCATGTGGCTTCTTATTTAACCTAGTAAGACTTCCATTCAGCCAGATTTCAGGAGGTCTGAATGGTGGTTCTTCTATACTTTACTTGTAATTTTGATGTAATTACAGAGGATGGGAGTATTGCATTTATCCATGCCCCCATCTTGGCTGGAAGTGCCTCCACTTCCTCTATTTTAAACATCTTACTAGCATTATTTTATAGATAATGTAAAAATAAACTTCAGCTCAGTAAACAGTTAAACTGCTATGAATTTCAAATTAAGGAGGAATAAATTAATAATGCTACATTGTAACTTTATAGAAGGTTAGCAGTAGCAATTCTATAATCACTGCTGTCCAGAAATAAAGCCAAACAATTATTACCATTTTGTTTGCATTTATAAATATGAACAGCCCAATAATAAGGCAGAATTCTTAAACTGCCTTTTAGAAAACAGTGGCAATTATTAGACAGTGTATACTAAAGATACATTATGTAAAGTGCTCATTTCATTAAACAATATTTCCCAGAATACAGGGGAAAAACTGTACATACTAATTCTGACAAATTAATATTTAATATTTATATCTAAAGACATCTTAAGATATCACAAAACATTACCTTGATGATTTTCACATTTAAAAGAGAATAAAAACCAATATCCAACAAACACAAGTTAAAACTACAACATTCATAACTTTGAATGAAACATTTAATCAATTACTTCATTTTTATTCAGTAGATTCAATAATATAAAGGAAAAAATTAGTTTTAGATTTCAGCCTGAACTTTGAAACTCAATACTGTATTACAAAAAACTTTTAGAATGGTTTAATAACAATAATAATGTCTTGGCTTCTTCAAACCATGTTTTAAAAAATATTTTTGAAGCAATGTTTCATTCCAAAAACCTTTGAAGAGATTACAGTCCAGACCCTTATTTTGGCAAATGTCAATTCTAGAATATTAACCCTAATCAAGTATCAATGTACTTAGAAGAGAATACAAAACAAACATCAAATTTTTTTGACAAAAAATAGTTTGATTTTGAAAATAAAAATCAAAACATTACCATAGTATGTCTCAATTTTATATTACTGTGCTCAAAATATTAAGTAATTTGAAGATAAATCTTTTGAAGAAAACATGGAAGTATACAAAATTTTTCCTAAACAAATTTCCTTTAATAAATGTAATGTGTTTTCTCTTATATCTAATTAAAACATTTCAGTACTAAACAGAATATTCCAATGACCTTTCAAAAAGTTGAACAACACTATTTCTAGAAAACTTTTCACTTTCTTTAAAAAAATTATTTCTACTTCAGAACAGCCATAAATCAAACAATGATTTATCCTTACCACTTGAGGGACAAGTTTGGAATTCTGCTTAAGTGCAGACTTTGGTGCTGTACAGATCTGGCATCAAAACCTGGACGCACCACTAACTGCTGTAAAATTCAGGGCAAATCATTTAATCTCTCTAAATTTCGGTTTATTCATATAACATGATGATAAAAGCTACCTTGCAAATAGTGTGAGAAACAGAGAAAGCACATCGTGATGTGCCTTTCACTTTCACACCCTGCTGGTGAGAATATGACTTAGCACAACCCCTCTGAAAAACTGACATGACCTAGAAAAGCTGAGTGAACATTTGAATACTTTACGGCCTAACAATTCTACTCCTAAGTATACATATTCTAAGTCTGCACTGTCCAGTATGGTAGCCACTAGCACTTGAATATGGCTAGTGCAATTGGAGAACTAGACTTTTTATTTCACTGTAATTAATTTAAATTTAAAAATGGATTCTCAAATTAGTTATTGGAAAATATATGATTTACTTTATCAACATATCAACAGTAAATTTAATAAAATATAAACAGATCAAGTGTTTATATTTGTGAAAACAGCATACATATTCTGCAAGTATAAAATACATGAACTTGAAAATGGTATGAAGAAAAAATATCTTCAGAATATCTTTTAACACTGATTACATTTTAAGATATTTTGATTACATTTTAAAATATTTTGAATATACTCACAAATATATTATTAAATTAATTTTGTTTCTTTTTACATTTTTAATATGGTTACTAAGAAATTTATTCCTTTTTTTTTTGAGAGAGAAAGTAGATGAGAAAGAGTGGGAGAGAAACATTGGTGTAAGGAACATTGATCAGTTGCCTCTCACATGCACCCTGACCAGGACTGAACCTGCAAGTCTGGCATGTGCCCTGACAGGGAATCAAACCAGGGATCTTTTGCTCTGCAGGATGAAGTCCAACTGAGTGTTGGTTGGTCAGGGCAGTTACTAAGAAGTTTTAAATTACATATGTGGCTTGTATTACATTATTGTTGGGCAACACACTGCTCTAGAGAAATTCTTGCATGTAGATATCAATAGATATGTTTTATAAGAATCTTTTAACCACACTGTTGATGCTAGCCCCAAACAGTAAACACCCAAATATCCAACAATAACTGATTAATTATTAAATAGTCCCCACAGAATATTAAAAAATGAAAAACAAAATGCAACAGTATGAATGCATCTTACAACTAAAATAATGGGCAAGGGGTGAGTCATAAAAAATGCATATACTTTTATCCCATTAATATAAATTGAAAAACCTAACAATTCATTTTTTAGGAATGCATCAGATGGAAAATTAAAGTAAAACAAGTGAATGCTTATCACAAGTCAGGATAGTAGCTACCTCTTGGTGGAGGAGAGAAAATCAGAGCTCTACAAGGAGCTTATAAGGCAGTGTTTTTCAACCTATTTTTAATTCTTGTACCCTAAAGCTTTTCCTGGACAGTTGTTTTCCTTATCACATTCTCACCCACCTCCCCAATGAAATTTTAATGCCACAGACATATTGTATATGTGCTTATGTATTGTGGCTCTTTGGAAGGGCATAAATTATTGTAGTATCAGAAAAAAATGTAGTACATTTTTTTTCACTCCCCTTCCATCCTCACAAAACCAATTTTCACCTGCTTGAAAGTCAATTACTTCTTTTAAGAATGCATATTCTAAGTTATAGGCAATGCTTTATTTCCTAACCTGAAAGGTGGTTTACACAAGCATTTGCTTAGTTATAATTCTTTAAAATGCACTTATGTTTTATACATTCTTCTGTTATGTATACTTTACAATAAAAAGTAAAATTAGATAAAGTGACAAATTATGCCAAGGACTCAGTAACAGGTGATTATTTCCAGTTCAGAGCTGTTCAAACAAGAATAGCAAGGAATTAGTTTAAAAAATAAAAACCTAGTCCTGGCTAATGTAGCTAAGTGGATTGAGCGCGAGCTGCAAACAAAAGGATCCCTCGTTCCATTCCCAGTCAGGGCACATGCCTGGGTTGCAGGCCAGGTCCCCAGTGGGGGCCACGTGAGAGGCAATCACTCATTGATACTTCCCTCCCTCCCTTTCCCTCTCTCTAAAAACAATTAAATAAAATCTTTAAAAAGAAAAAGAAACCCATGTAATCATGAAATTTTAAAAAGCTATCTACCTATGTTTGGCGTAAACCTGTAAGTTTCGTGAACATCAACCTCCACTAAAAGGGGCTGGAATCCCTAAGAAGGAAATAAGAGGATAACGGCACTTACATTACTTGTAATTTTATGGTTTACCACTCAAGTATATATCTCAATTTCCTCTCATTTTTAAAATTGTGAATACTATTAGAGCATTAGAAAATAAAAGACAAGTGAACTTTTAGTGTCTCTTCAGGTCCCTGCATCTATGTACCATGCAACTTTAAAACAGTAAAACTTTTAGAGTTGATTTACACTACAAAAATGAATGTGACTTTGGATTCTACTTTTTTCATTTTAACGCTGTGCCAAAAGCACTCCTACCAGAAGAATTTCACTTAAAACTATGCATATTTGTGAGGCAGGCATTACAATTATTCCTACTTTACAAATTTTTGATATGGGGCTTGCTCGGCCTTTATTCAATTCAAAGGTAAACTAAAAAACACGAGATAGGGGAGGTAGTGCTGGTGGAAGAGAAGGGGAAAAAAAACCCCAAAACATCTGGACTTAACGACCACAGTAATTCTGCCAGCATCGTTTTACAACCACCCTTCACCATCCCGGGACTTCATAGTTCTCTCCCGCTAGTTCTTCAACCTTCTTCCCTCCGGAGCGATACTCCCTTATCATCCTTCTTTATTTAGCCTCTCCCTTTCTAAATTCCCCAGAACAAAGTCTCATTCTTATTCCCATTCAAATGATGTCCCACCGACTCTCTTAATTACCTGACAGCAATCTGACCTCTCAGGACATTCAATATTCAACCCTCCAGCCGGAGCCCAACGGAAGCGGAAGTTGTCATCTCGGGTACCTTTCCGCAGGAAAGCCAGAAAGTCATTTAACGTTCCGGTAGAGGGTCACAGATTTATGGAGGTGACGCGAAGGGGCCCGTAAGCCGACAGTGTTTCCGCACATCTGTGTATCCGTAGTCTATCTTCAAAAAGAGAAATTGTGGAGGGCAGAAGGGCGGGAGAGAGGATCTGTTTTCCGCGCTTGGAGACCGGAATCCTTAGCCACTGAACAGAGGGGTGGGCCGTGGACATCCTGCAGCCAATAAGTGAGGCTGTTGTTAAAGCGTGGACTCACCCAGTGGGTGGGCTGGTTATTGCGCTGCAGTGGGCTGGCGGCTGCGGGAGGCGGTGGCGGTTAGAAGCCAGAGACAGCGGGGTGACAGGTAGGCAGCTACGCTGTCTTTGGCGGACGCAGAGGGCTTCCTCAGGAGGGATTTTCACCTCCTCCGGCTGCAGATGGGATCTACATATATAGAGGGGATCTGACGAGGGTGGTTTGGGAAGGTGGTAGCCGCAGTGTTGGTGGTTCCGGAACCTGTCGTAGACCAGGTAGCCGCTTGGGAGGGTCGTGAGGAGGAGAAGGCAGCTGAGGCGGGTGGCGGCTGAGCCCAGTGCGGTGACGCTGGGGGCCTAGGGCGTGGGGGGCTGCGGTGGCACCAGCAACCAGAGGAAGGAGGCGGGAAGAAGACAGTGTCGTGAGGGCTGGAGAAATTTTTTGCACGAAGCTCAGATAAAAGGATGCGGCATTGCAGGCACCCGAGAGAAATCCTAGGGCCTTTTTGGGGGGTGGGAAGGGGAAGCAGAGAAGAAAGATATTTACTGGCCGTCAGATCCTTGAAACTCTTTATAGCTACACGAGTACATTATATAACCCTTGGCTGTTGTATACCCTAAAAACTAGGTTGTCTCTTTGGAAAAGGAGGTCCGGTAACCTATTGATGTGTCAGAATAGTTTTTTCGTTGGTTACAGAGAGCCTCGCAGGCTCTATAAGAGTAGACGTGTGAAGGATAAGATAGTCACGAAGACCTTATCCCAAATATGGACTTGGGTTGAGAGACTCGTTAGTTTGAGATGAACGTGGCCAGGTTCACGTTTTGTAGTTCATGAATTTATTTGTTTTGAGGGTCAAAGCTGATTACAAATACTTTTTCTCATCTTCAGGAAAGTGGAGAGCCTCAAAAATCTATAGTGGGAGGTAAGTGCAGATTGGAAAATGACTGGAAATTTCGTTGTTAGATTTTTACCCCTAGATATTGTGGATGTTAGAGGTCTGAAAATAACGTGGTGGTTTAAATGGAGAAGGGGGAATACAAAAGTCATCCTTTAAGTAACTTGCTGTGTAAATCTGAGAAACTAGTTATGGATTATTTATTAGTTATGGATTATTTATTTATCTTGACTCAGGTAAAATGTATTTACAGACATTAATAACTGAATTATGTTTTTTCCTGGGTTTAATAATTCACTCTTGCACAATGAAATGTATAATTAATATAAGAATTTCATTAAGTATGTTATGGAAAGACAAATTACATTAAAAACTTGGTTCCATAGCTCGCTGGAAAACAGTTTTCAAAGAAGCATTATAAATTGGTAAAATGTAAGCTGATTGAAACATTGCCTTTTACTTAGAATATAAGGACTAATGTAGTATTAGCAAGTGTACTATAATTTTCATTTTTCTGATTATAGTTTATATTAGTATATACCAGAACCTAAATAAAAAATTCATTTATTTGTCTAAATATCATTTGGTAAGGAGAGGTGGGTCTTTGGAGTTTATTTGTTAGTTCTGAAATGTTGGGAGTACTGCAATATTTATCACTGTTTTAGATTAAAATTTTGACACGGGGTGTCTCGTTGCCTTTTTACTTTTTTGCAGGGATAATACTATCTCTCAGTCACAAAGAATAGTTCTGCTTCTATTTTAGTAGTGTGAATACCTGTGAACAAATCTGCTTCTATGTAGTGGGGTGTGTGTGTGTGTGTGTGTGTGTGTGTGTGTGTGTATGTCTTGTTATGTAATCAGCCTACTAGAGCTGTCTCAGAGAACTAATGGCTGATTTTGAATGGCCAGTAGGTGTCATTGTAGAATGCAATAAAGTTGAACAATTGAGTAGGAAATTATCAAGTGATTTAAGAAACACTAGTCCAAATTAAAATATAATAATAATTGGCTGATTATTTATACATAATTAGAAGTCCATTTTTCTGACACATTTCAGTATTGGAGCTCTTATAAGGAATTTGAAACAATGGCTATAAGAAAGTATAATTGTTTGCCCTAAAATGGACCTTGAAAGCTTGTTTTTAAATCCAACTCTTAAGCGACCTTCACATGCAATAGATTTAGTCTATTTGATTGTTTTTAATACAGTTTTGGCATCTTATAGTAGTTTAGTAAGTTTTAAGATAATTAAGATTTTCAGCCTGACTGAGCTTTATAATAGAAAAACAGATGCTAAGTAATAAAAAAACTAAAATGATGAACCATGAGCAGAAAATAATGAATCCCAAAAAGTTATCAGCTGCACAACATAGTACTTTGTTATTGTTCTTTCAATGCAAGAACAAATGAATTCTTATGTTTCAGTGTATATGACTTCTTAGTTTTTTTGATACCCAGAATAGCTTCTTTTTTACATTTTTGTCTGGCTAGTAGACTATGTGCTTTTCTCAAAATGATGAACTGAACATTTGCTGTTGTCTAAAATGTGATACAATGGATTCTGGAGGGAGCTGGCACAGAAAGCTCTGAAGGCGGCGTACAGCTGGTGTGAGTACAGCCCCTTAATCTGCAGAGCCTTCTACTGAATCCTTGTCACTTTGTAGCTCTGCTCCTTTTGCCTGCTATTGATACAATGTTAAAGTAGAGTTGGACCTAATTCAGAAAATCTCAGTGAAAGTGGAGTTTATAAATATATTCAGAATAATTGAGGAGTTTTTTTTAAAAAGGCACACACACATCATCTCCACGACCTTTCAGAATCTTAGTGGTAGGATGAATGTGAAGGAAGGTAGATATACATATTTTGAAGAAAAAAAGTCTCCAGATGATATGGTTCATCATTGACTTCCACTTTCAAATCATTGATCTAATTCAAAGCTCTCTTACTCGTGATATGAACCAGTAACAGTAGTTTCTGCTTGAGAGAAAGGGCTGCCAAATCTACCAATATTTTTATAGCTCAATAAATTTTCACCCTTAAATGTCATAGCTGGGATAGATTTTCTAGTTAGGAACTAAAGTTGCCAGAAATAAAAATCTTGCTGAATGTTTTGGTTTAGATTAGTTTGTACTTGGCATTTAGCTGCTTTCCGTAAACCAAGATAATTTCTTTCATGATTCAGACCTGTGCTAACTTGCACAGATATTTACTTATATCTTGTTCTCTCAATGTGTCTGAAAGCTGTCTAATTCTAGAATCAAGCTACAATTGGAAAATAAGAATTGGAAATTTTCTCAGTTAAAGGTCTTTTGGCAATATTGTAATGATACAAAGAAGATATACATTTAGCTTTTGCATAAACATTCACTCAGTGATACATAGTAAAACTTGGAATTGTGAATGTGTTGACTTTGACAGAGGTCCTGTTTAGAAATTCATGGTTCATTTTTATGTATTCTAGACTTTCTATTTGAGTATCTGTCTGCCACAAAGACAAGTACTAGAAAAAGCAAATGTGTATACTTTAATTTTGGAGAAAGGAGTAAAAACTCAATTATGTCATATATTTAAAAAAATTTTAAAGGGTTGTTTAAGGATTAAATAAGCAAGTATATGTAAGTTTCTTATTACAGTACTTGGTGCATCATACTACATAATAAATATAATAGCAGCAGCAGTGATATGTCAGGCCTCTAACTTCTTACTATGCCTCTCACTAGGACCATTCTAACAGTCTTCTTATTGGTCACCTTACTCTCAGTCTTTCTTCCCTCTAGGCCATTCTATAATGCAACCAGAGTGCCTATCACATTTTGGTCACTTCACACAAAACTCTTTTAACGTCTCCCCATTGTACCTTCATACATTAATTTCTGTTTTTTAATCGTAGTGGAATGAAGCATTGGAGTCAGCATGACCTCCAGGATATTATAATAGGTCAATCAAGGATAAAAACAAAAATCTCAAGTAATTTTTCTCAACTTCAAGAAACTATTAAAGTATTGTTTTAGAGTTTGTTTGGTATTGCAGCCTTACACACCATCCCAAAAGTTAATGACCTAAGACAAAAAGATTTATTTTTCATGATTCTATAGGTTGGCTGAACAGTTCCTCTGTTGGTTTCATTTGCCTGTCCCATTCAGTTGAATCTACTTGGAGAGTTGACTGCGTTGGAAGGTCCAAGATATCCTCACTCACATGTTTGTAGTTGGTGTTGCTTGTCTGTTATTAAAGTGCTACAGTCTTCTCTGTGTGGCTTCCCCTCCTCTAGTAGGCTACTGGCATTCTTATAAAGCATTCTCAGGGTAGTGTCCTAAACAGGTGAAGGTGGAAGCTGCATGGCTGCAAGGTTGCAAGGCCTGTTTGAGGCTTAGGCTTTGAACTTATGTTAATATAATGGCCTTTTACCATATTCTATTGGAAGGACCTCTGTCTCAACCAGTTTGGGCTGCCATGACAAAGTACCACAGACTGGGTGGCTTAAACAACAGACATTTATTTCTCACAGTTCTAGAGGCTGGTAAGTCCAAGATCAAGGTGCCAGAAAATTGTGTGCCTGCCAAGGGCCCACTTCCTTATTCTGTGATGGCTGTCTTCTCACTGTACCATCACATGGCAGAAGGGGTAAGAGAGCTCTTTGGGTGCCTCTTTTATAAGGGCACTAATCCCATTCAGGAGAACTCTACCTTTATGACTTAATCACCTTTCAAAGGCCTCACCTTTTAATATAATCACGTTGCAGGTTACTATTTCAGTATATGAATTTTGGTGGGATGCAAAAATGTCCATAACAGTGGTCCATGTAGAGATGGGACTATTTTCTGTTTTCTTAATTTAAGGATGAAAAAAAGTCCAAAAATGACACAATTGCTATAAAAATTTGTGAAAAGTTTTGCCGAGGCTTAATAGTAGAAACAAATACCCAAGTACAAAAGACATTAAGTGGCAAACAAGGTGAGGCATTTGGAAATCATGAAGTAGTCTGCGTGATATGTAAGAGAATCAACCTTATCTGATTGTTGTGCAATAGCAGTGTTTCCTGAAAACTTGAAGAAGGTTAATCTGAAGAAAGGTCATTCATTTTTTTATTTGAAAAGTTTAAACTTAACCTCTTATTTTTATATAATTTGGTCTTTATGATCATAGTTTTATATGCCAAATTACTTTTCTAAAACAAAATTCCCAAAGGTTGGCAAGAAGTTACAATACTGTATTATGAAAGCTTGTCAGTGTACTAAACTACAGTAACATCCCTCCAACTGGACTCTAATGGTGGTGTACAGTCACAGAGTACAGGCTCTTTGTTCAGGCTTGCCTTCTACTTTACTCCCATTTCTGTGGAAATACCTTACACTTTATCAGACTGAAGCATAGCTGAGATGGCTGTTGGTATCTTAGACCACATATTTGTTGCCAGAGTCTCTTTCTTACATTATTAGTCAGGAATTGTGGTTGGCTACTAGAAACAAAGATAAGAAATAACCATTGCTTAAACAAGATAGTAATTTAGCCCTGGCTGGTGTGGCTCAGTGAATTGAGTGCCGGCCTGAGAACTGAAAGGTTGCCAATTTGATTCCCAGTCAGGGCACATGCCTGATTGGGTTGCATGCCAGGTCCCCAATTGGGGCCATTTGAGAGGCAATCGATTGATGTATCTCGTGTACATCAATGTTTCTCGACTTTTCTTTCTCTCTCCCTTCTCTCTCTAAAAATAAATAAATCTTAAAAAAAAAGAGTAATTTATTTTTGGCTTGTGAAAAAACATTCAGAAATTGGCTGTGTAGGACTGATACGGCAACTCTAGAGTTGTCAGAGACCCAGTCTCCTCTCTTTTTTGCATGTGGCTTCCATTTTCAAGGTCAAAGAATGGTTATCCAGTGATCACACTCATGTTCTAGGCAGAAGGAAGGAGAAAGAAAGGCAAAGGACAAAAAGGGCATGCCTTATACTTTTAAGAAACATTTCTAGAATTCCCCATACAATATTTCCTCTGATCAGATTGATCAGGACTTAAGTCATTTGGCCA